GTGTTTTAGGACTCATTCCTGTCTTTAGGCTACTTTTACCGTGTGTGATTGGTTATATTCAGAGAGAGACTCCATTCATTTATTTTAAACATGAATAAAATGTTGTTTAGACCCTCATCATGTGACTGTGATGTCACCAGATCATCCTGGACTCAGGAAACACAAATGTATAACTGAGATATAAACTGGAAGCATGATGTCTGGAAGCATTTCTCCTTGTCATGGAGGGTCTAGTGAGATTGAATTTACAGTTATAGGATCCAATGGGAGTTTGACTCCTTAGAGGACAAGAAAATGTAGGATATGTAAGGCTCTGTTGCATCAATTATGAGCATCTTCTATCATCCTGTCTCTTGTGACAAGTTCTGAAAACTATTTCGTCCGAGTTCACGGTTCGTACCATGACGAGACATATTTCCCTCAGCAGCTCACTTTCTTTCCCACACCTCGGCTGCACCTGCATCACAATTGATAAAGCAGGTTGTCCCAGCGGACCAAAGAACAGTGTGTTCATGACCTTCTCCTGGAGATGTCCCATTGTGTTCAGAACACACACAGGCTGAATGTTATGAGGAACATGTTGTTCAAAGGTGGGGAAGTCACCAAAGAGACAGAAGGATGGAGAGAAAGACAGAAAGTGAGGAATCGAAGAAGACATTAGGAGAGGCAGAGCGAAGAGGACGAAAAGATTGGGAGTTTTTCTGGCAGAGATCCAGCGCTGCACATTCTCGCAAGATTAATTGAAGCTGTTTTTGTTTTTCCAGGCTGTGAATTACTGGCAGATTATAGAGAAACAGCTGTTTCACCCACTTCCCCCGGACTCCGCCTGTGTGATTATGCATCGAGTGACAACCAAGACAAACACTCACTCTGCGCTGCCTTCACGCCTCCTTCGTGTTCATCCCGTTTCACAAACTGTCACTCATTTGCATTGCGATTAATAAAACAAATCAGACACGATCATTACAACGACAAAGACATATTTATTAAATCCTTTTTTTAGTTGTTTGTTGTAGTTAGTCATAGCTGCTCCAACACGTGTATTTACAAAGAAATGGCATTTTTGTAGAAAATTCTAGTGAGGGATTGAGCAGGAAAAAAGACATTAGAATAGTTTGCAAGAGTACAGGAGAGGGTGGGGGGGTCATATAGGCACAAGTTACACTTACTACAATGTCAAAGGAATATGCATTTTTGGTGGCACATCCATGACAGGTTTGGAAAAAATGTAATTAAATGACAAAATGTTAAAAAATGATCACATCTTTATTCCCCGCTTTGTAAAAACAATATTACATATCGCACTGGTTTGCAATGTGTACTTTCAGAGCAATGGCTGTTCAAATGGGGATGTCTGGCTTTGGACAAATGGGCTTTTGGTCCAATGGGACATTTATCTGACTATTGGGGTTTTGGAATAATGGGCAAACCCCCACAATGCAGTGCAGAAGTTAAAAGCAAGGTCTTCTAAAAAATCTCTTGAAATAACCCTTGCAATATGTAATCACTTATTACAAAATGCGGGGAAGTTACAAAATGATGTGAACATTTATTACATTTTGTCAAATTATTAAACAATGTGTGCTTCCTTGGCTAACGTAAAATACACTTTCCAATGCTAAATGCATAACAAATGCACACTTTCGGTTTTGAATCCAAAGTCCTGCGACAAGGCGATTTAAACTGCTGCTTAGCTCGGACACAGCTGGAGGCGAAAGTTAGCAAAAGACCACAAGAAGACAAAGGAAATCTTGCACTTTAAAGACACTTTTGATGCAACAATACATTGAACAAGTGTGTTTTGGAGGGAAAAGAGATATTTTTGTTCTTGGATATCCATCTGTTCCTTCTTCAGACCCTTTAAACCATGATCATAACGCAACCAAACTGCATGATATGTGCCGTGTTCGCCCTAACGCATTTACAGAGGGGGAGGGGGTGCAATGTTAATCCTGTTTTTTTTTGTTTCATAAAAAAGACATATAAAATGAAACGAAGCATTTCCTTATATCAAACATTGATTTTTTTTTTTTTGCTAAGAACATTAATGTGCCCTTCAAAAGAGGTGTGAAAAAGAGAAAGTATCTAACATTGTATGTTACAACAGACTAATTGTTGGATACACAGTATCCACAAAACTAACTGATTGGTTTTTCTCATCGTGGCCCGAGGCAATGATTACAGTTACAGTGGACTTTGAATGGAGACTCGTAGGTGTGAGGAGATTTCTAATAATGTGGTAATGTGCGCCCAGATTTGCTCCCAAAACTGAGTAATTCCTACCCTCAAAATACTTCATTTATTTCTTAAATGACTAATTCCTCCAAACCATAAACTTGTGAGCCCAAACGTCTTCAAACTGAAAGAACTGTTTTCAGTCCAACCCGCTACTTCAAGCTCAGAATTTATGACATTTAATTTGGGATAAGTCTATAGAGTGGTGCAGTAATGAGTCCAGTGGTTTTTTAAATGCATTTGTGGTGCCTGAAATAAGGTCTGTGGTTAACACAAGCTTACAAACATGTGTTTGCCACAAAGCTTATTTTCTACAATATATCAAAATCCAATGGGATTTCGATATATTTCAGAAAATAAGCTTATTTTTAGAGCCAACTTCCAGGTCGGCCTATAAAAACCTGTCATCACTGCACCACTCTATGTTCTCATATATAAAACAATAGATAGGCAATGAAAGTATCTGAGCTTTTTTATAGAAAGTCATATATCTGCCCCTATATAAATAACATTATTATAATTGGTCTCAAAATTATAACTATTTATTTTTGTATCATTACTTTTTCTAGTATATTTCTTGTAATTGTTGACTTTGGTGAAATTATCAATTTATTCTCATTATGTCACAACTTAATACTCAATTGTTCCGTATTAATGAGCAAGAACGGCAGATATTTATAAAAAACGACATGGGAGCAGGGTAGGTTTCACCTGGCGGTTATTATAATTAAATGTGAAGAGGAGAAAATCTGGTTGGGCAAGCTTTCCATATCCTCATATTGTCATTATCAGAGATCGCAGATATTGGATCTGATGGCCTCAGGCGACAGATTGGGCGAGGGGAACGTTCTCTTTGATCAATTTAAAAGCTTACTTTCATTAATCCAACAACGTGATGATAAAATACTACCAGGTTTGTAATGACTGCTGGATAAGGTATAGGATTATGAGCCGTAATCAAATGTCACAACTTCAACAGAAATACGTGTAATCGAAAACAATTATATCGTGAGTTCAGCTAACACAGTATACGTGATCACGTGCGATCACTTCCATCGGTCTCTCCAATTACAAAAACGAAAAAGTAGCTTATGTATACGCGTTCAGACAAAGTACTGTAACAAATGAAATGCGTTAGGTCATCCGTCCATAAGATTACGGGCATTTATATACATTCAAAGTGAATTTGACGCTTCAGAGACGCGAGCCGGTCCGGAGTAAAAGGCCCATCGCTGAAAGGATAAAGGCGGGGTCACGCATGGCTCACGGACCCTGGTGTGCAGAGCAAAGCTTTGGTGAGCAGGCATATGGATAAATGCAGATGTGGGGGTTTGTAAGATTGCGCAGCGTACTTGTCAGGATGATTGAAAAAGGATCACGAACGGGTTGCTTTAAATTAAGGAGCAGAGTGACACGTAATGATTAAAGGGGATCATCACTGTGTGAGACATTGAAAATTCCCTTTAAATGCAGATTTTATTTTTACAATGTAGTCCTTAAATTTACAGGGCTAAAAGCAATTGGCGACCGTTTCTTTACCAGCCATAATCAGTACCAGATTTTTGGGAAATATAAGTTAACCGCTTGTTCCTGATTGAAAATCAAGACTATTGATCTCAGCATTAGCACTTCAACTCTTCACATGTTGCTCTTTTCTCTCGGATCCACTAGCGCTGAATATCGGGACACATGCTGTGTGTATTTCATCTCTGCCAGTGGTTTTCCTTTTCTTCATTCTAAAAAAAGTATTTTACGATGGTTCCCCTGGTGTGCTTTCTTTCAGCTGCACTTCACACAACATCAAAGAGGGCAAGTGAATCACTGCCCCCCCCCCCCCCCCCACTACTACCACCACCTGCTCTGTAACTCGCTCACTCTAACATCTCTCGCCTTAGAAAACTTGTGCTGCTTGAGTCGAGGGAGAGTAACCCTCCTGATTAGAAAAAACGTGTATTTTTATTTTAACCTCATATTAGTCATGGACACATCCCTGAAGTTGGTAGGAAACTTGTCTCTATATACTATAGAGAACCGCAGTGACGCGTCCTAAAACCCGGAAGTAAGTTAGCATTTTTACCACGTCCGGTTCCTTCGACAAAAAGCAATGCAATTTCTCCATAGGATTTTGGAAAATAGCTCCAAATAAGGTCTGTGTTTGACACAAATTGAAGAGACAGATCACGTTTTGTTCTACGACATTAAATACATCACCCCGCTGGTGATTTCTGAAGAGTTTACGTGTCTGAAAAACGATGGTTGTTAACAAGTGGCTGAATAGGACTACAGAAGTTGTCCAGGCCGTTTTATGTCATGACACCGATCACGTAAATACTCACGCTAAGTTTGTTTGCCCTGTTCTGCTTGAAAGCAAGTACCTGCCTCCTGCAAACTGTTCAAACAAACACTTCAACTCGTACCATTTATAATCTGTAGTTTTGAATATGGATCTTAAATTGGCGTGACGTTGAAGCAGCGACCCTGCTGTAGTTCCTTTATAGCATAATGTTAGCATTTTGCTTCTTGCGACTAGATTTATGCTTCGAAAATTATAAAAGTAGGATAGACATGTGGAGATTATCCGGCTGAACAAAACGTGATCTGTCTCTTAAATGTGTCTCAACCACAGACCTTATTTCCAGCTATTTTCCAACATCCTATGGAGAAATTGCATTGCGTTTTTGACGAAGGAACCGGAAGGAGTTTAGGACGCGTCACTGCGGTTCTCTATAGTCGTGTTATGATAGTGATTCACAAAAGCAATGGTGTAATAGTAAAACTACGTTGGTGACATTTTTAATGACAATCGAAACACAAATATTCAACGATTTTTTTTCTTTTTTTTCCTACACCCTGATAGCACATCAGACTTTTTTTTTCCTTCCTGGACTTTGTTAAAAAATTAGCGATCAATTCCAACAGATACATAAACTGAAGTGATTGTATCAAAAAAGCTGTGTAATATGAACTAACTTAATGGGTAACTGTATTGCCTTTCTACTGTACTTACAGACTAAAACCAGAGCAGAAAAAAGAAACACGAGGACTTCACAATAAATAGGAAAATACATTTTGCCTGGCAAAAAAACCATAACCACTTCTTCGCTCCGTTCAAATATTTTACTGTACACCCATGTTGGCTGCTACAATTGAATTAGGTGACATATTAAAATCAAAACACATTAATCGGTCATTAAATCGGCCCTATCCCAACACTAAAAGATGAGTGCTGCTTTAAATGTTATAATTCTCAACAAGGGTCAGCTTTTCAACAGGGAGGATTGAGTCGTCAAAGTCTCGCCCTGCGCCCTTGGTGACCGTCTCCTAGCAACAACATCGTTCTCATTTTTTCCCGTTAGCATGGTGGTGATGCGTTACTTCCAGGTCTTCCTCGAAAACATCTTCCATTTTGACGTGAGATATAATCATGATACATGTCGGGGGGTTATGTGATGTTTTCCTGAACACAAAAAAAAGTCTGTAAACTTTTTAAGGATCCCGCTGTGCTTCATTGCCATTCAAGCTGTGGACTGATTGTGTAGTGTGTGTGTGTGTGTGTGTGTGTGTGTGTGTGTGTATGTGTGGGTTTGAGATCATATGTGTGCTTGTCTTTAATATCTGTATACTGTGAGTAGTAGCAAGGCGAAAGGGTACGCATCTTTCACCTCAGGGTGCCTTGATCATCAGCACGCAGCAGAAAGTCATTAATCACTCTGGTTGGCAAGTCAAAAAACATCGAAGGCTTCAACATGGAAGTCCCTTCCTCTCTCTTTTCACATAGAGAGATTGTCAGTGTTCTTTTTTGTTTAAAAAAGTGCTCCTTTGAGGGGAGGGGTTGCAGGGTAAGGGCAGCCTGTGGTCCAATCAGGACAGTCCATTCCTGGCGGATTCCTCAGCCTGGGCGCTATAAAGGCAAGATGGCCGCCAGCAGAATGAGGGCGGCGCTGAGCAGGAGGACTGAAGTCTGGCGTCGGCCCGCAGAGTTCACATCCCGTCGAGCCGCCTCTGGAGACTCGTGACCGATGCCGTCTGAGGGAAACGGACGACAATGAATATAAATAGTTAGCTTAGCACGAAACACTTACTTCGATCAACATCTTCTTATATGTGCGGAGTAAGTATTTGTTACAAAATGTCTTAGCTGAGTAATGTTGTTGCTGTTTCAAAAAATATTATATAGATGATACCTAATAGATGAAAATAGATTAAATCTATTAAGTAAATACTTGCATTAATGAATGATCGCAATATTTCTGAGTTTTTTTAAATATATGATATACATATTATTATATTACAATAGGGTTAGTCAGGTTTTTTTAGGGTCTAAACTGAATCCTCCATTTTTGTACAACAATAACTAATCAAATATAAACTATAGTAACTATATTCCCCTTTAATTCCCAATGCATGACTTCAACCTCAATGTCTGAAGGAAGTGTGTAAGTATGCAATGTCTTGAATCATGATTACATGAAAGCAAAACTAAGGAATATTATACACACACACACACAGTACTATTGTACACCAACCTCTGGGTTCTAGGGAGTTGTGACTGTTGTCGTCAAAGTCGACCCCTTCCTGAACGGTCCCGGGTTCTTTCACACAATTGTCTTTGGAAAACAAAGAGGAGAGAGGAAAGATTAGAGAAGTCCAAACGTCACTAGTCTAATGCCTGATCACAAGCTGGTGGAGGACTGAAAGGCAGAGAAGACTCATCAGTCTGAGACTCACTCTGAGGCCGGACAAAGACTTTGAGGCGAAGGCAGCTCCGTCTTCCTTTCTCGTCAGTGATGGAGGCTGTGGAGACATTAGACAGTCAGAAACAAACAACTCTGAACACGTGACTTTAACATTTCAAACTTCCTTGATCTCATCTAGGGTTTTGTGTTTATGGTTTGAATGGCAGTTTTATACAAAACACACATCATTGAGAAAACAGTTTTAGTGTACAAACCTTTAAATGAAACTACAGCAGCACTACACCCTCTAACCTTTAGTAAATGTACATCACACTACATTACATTTAATTTAGCTGACACTTTTATCCAAAGCATTCAACCATGATAAAACCATGTCAAAAAAGCAAGAAGGTACATTAGCTATCAATAAACCTTGTAAATGCTCCTGCATTAGCATTAAAAAAAGCTTCAGCAGTGCATTCAGAATGTTTTATTAGCAGGTGCAAAGGGCTACTTTATTTTTAGATTATACCACCCAAGGCTTCAGCTAGTTTGTTCAATAAAATAAGGGTCTTGTGAAAAATGTGTTTATATTTGTCAAGGTAAGGGAGAAAAAAAGTGTATTGGTTAGGGGTGTAACGGTTCACAAACATTTCGGTTCGGTACGTACCTCGGTTTTTAGGTCACGGTTCGGTTCGGTACGTTTTCGGTACAGCAGAAAAAATTATCACAAAACATAACATATTTTTTACACACGTGTACCGAACCGAAGGGCCCGTACCGAATAATTTCGGTACGGGTACGTATACCATTACACCCCTAGTATTGGTATAAAAACCGAAACTCAGAATTGACACCAATAGGGCCAGACCAAGCCATATAAGCCAAGTCCATATAAAAGACAACCAACAAACTGTATTTTGTACATTTCACCTCAAACTAACCTTTTGTGGCCCTTCATTGGCCTAATTTGACAACTTTTAAAGTCTTCTTTCCATTCAACCACAGTATTTTCATGGCATGGAATGTCTTGACTCAACCCAATCTTTTTGGTTTTCCGTTAGCAAGAGTTGTGGATGATACCTGGCACCAAGCGAACTAATCAAATGACAAAGGTGAACTGATTGTCTAGTCTGATTCCAGCCTACGTTTTGTGGTCCATCTGCAAAGCCATTCAATATTCCCCATTTACATTCCATTCACAACTTCACCTGAGACCTCTTCACTCTAACACCTACCGTCCTAGAAACGAACAATCAGACAAGGTCAATTGTTTCACTTGAGCTATTCCACAAATATCTCCTTTAAATACAGTCTGAAGAGCCTTATATCACCTCCTAAATCCCCCTCTCATCCTGCCTTTCGGCTCCATATTTTACACTGTCAAATCTCAATGTCACCCTCATATTCCCAAGTGTAATTTTACCAGGGGCGGTTACTTCTGCAGGTGAGTGGCATGCTGCCCACCTGCAAAATCTAATTTCCTCTGTTTCCTGCAATGATTAAAAAATGTTTGTGCTGTGCTTGTTTTGCAGAGCTAACAAAACTAATTAGTTTTCAACCAGTGCAGGGGACCAAGTCACCAACGGAGCGCTGAGGGTGTCTCCAGCTGTGACGAATGACTTCAACTTCTGTCTGAACATTTTTACGTTATGTCTGACCTTATGTTCATCCCAATATAGATTATTCCTCTTTTCTTTTTCAGACTTTTCCTCTTGGGCCTCAGCACTCCTGACCCCTGTCATTTCCTGCTGCCTGCCGAGTTTCTCAAACTGCTCTTAATCTCGCCACAAACACAACCTGGAGTGTGTTCCTGACTGTGTGTTTTGGCGTATGTATGCATTGTAGTTGTGGTTGCATTTGAGCAAAGACTAGCCGTAGTTTGTCCACAGACACCCATCCATCCCTCCTCCGTGTGATGGATTCTTTCCGTGCGGTGAATCCTGATAAAAGTAAACCATGTCAGAGTTTCCACTGTCGCCCATGACTCTCATGTCTCTTATTTCAAAAGCCACTTTATCAGATGCCGTGCGGCCGCTGGAAGAGATAAAAATCATATTTAAGACTTCAACATGAGAGCGGGATTGGAAGTGAAGCAGCAGAGGGAGGAAATAAACGAGAGAATCGGTGTCAATCTCGCTGCTTCTGTCTGTGTCAGTGGGTATCCAGTAACTTACCTCACACTCACTGTCTCAGTTTCTGTGTCTGAACTCCACTGGCCAGAAGCCCCGTCTTTGTCTCCCTCTACACCTCTCATGCTCCTTCTCTTTCCACGACTGTTGTTATCTCCTTCTGACTGACTTTAACTGCTGTTTAAAGTCTACTCTTGCACAAAGAAACTATTGTCCCAGGCTCTTATCCAAGACGTTTCATTTATTTATAAGTGGATTATTATGGTTTCAACTAACAATAATTATGGCTGTCAAATAATCTCTTAATCAATTATATATTAAAGGATTGATCAATTACTCCATTAAATGTAAACAAAAAAGCAGTGGCATGTACTGGGGATTGGTCCCCTAACGAAGGACAAGGGGTTCGAATCCTGCATGTCACTTAAATAAAGGCACTGGTTGCCCAAAAAAAGTAAAATATGTCCATCAAAAGTTCAAGTAAACGTCTTCTAATTGCCTTCTTCGTTTGACTGATGGTTTATAAACCAAACTCAATACTTTTACAATGATATAAAATAGAAATGTATCAATTTTTAACATTTCAGAAAGGAGTAAAATCTTTTTTTTGGATTGAAAAATTACTTTTCTTGAGGGGTTCATCTTTTGGTTACACATTTAGTTTTGATAGATATTTGTATAGGCCTGTAGCCAACAGCCTGAGAAAGACTGTGTTGTTTTTAAATCACAGTAATTAAATCAGTGAGCAGGATATATTAAGGTCCCTATAGCAACCATAGATGTATCCCGCTACAATGTAATTAACCCAGACCTAAAACAGTATGTGTTAACTTAAATGTCAACATATTGAAATCAAAGTTAACAGCCGCTGTGAGAAACTGTTCCAATTATGTCTATGAATAGCTTATTGCTCTAACGCCTAAATACAAGCAGAGGTTTGTGTGTTAAGTCCTGCTATGCACCATTAAGTTATCATTGACAGAAACACAGTATTGTATGTCATGATTCAAGACTTCGCTCTCGGTGCAACAGGTACATCTTCTGGCCAATCAGCATGGGACAGGAAGTAAGATTTAGACAACAGTAGCCTTTGCAGAGTGTTTTCTGCATACAGAGACGTAACGTATTATGACATACAGTAACAGTAGCTGCAGTTGTTTTTTGTAGATGTTAGAAAGGCCAAAAACTATTTCAATAAAACGCAGCTGCACCCTGGGCAGGATAATGCACCCTGGGGTGTTAGATATCGGGGACCTCGTCATGCATTATCACTTATGGACATATTGTTATTGCTTTGATCTAGCTTTCTTAATGTGAAGACTGACATGTGTTCAACCCTTTTGTGAAAGGAACTTTTCAATTGATTTTCCTGGAAATCTAAAAAAACTTCAAGAGATTGTCAAACTGTTTCGCTGAGTTGTTTTGGTTTTTATCAAAGTATATGCAGTATTGAGATACATGGCACTACTTTTTTTTAATAAATCATTATATTTTCTTTTTAAGGACAAATGGCTACATCCCAGAAACTAAAAGGATCACATTTAAATATTTGGTTTTAGAAGCTTTTGGAAGTTAAATATCTAAGATATGCACACATATGCAAAGTAAATGTATATGGAAACACATTCAATAAATTAAATAGAAAATAAATAATTAGTATCATTTGTTTACACATTTTCTTAAAATTTTCCAAAAGTTTTGTTGATATTTCACGTCACTAAAAAAATCTAAGTGCTCTGCTTTTCTATTTCTCACCCTTTTAATCTTTTTCTGGCTTTGTGTCACACTGTCTTTTTCCCTTATCTCACTTTCTCACCCCCCCACCTATACCACCATCCCTTCCTAAATGCAGACACACAATTACCCAACTGTCTCTCTTCCTTTCTCTCATGTCTGCCGCTGAGGTCAGAGTCTGGCTTTTCTATCCTCGAGCAACACAGCCGTGCTTCACCGGGGACTGTAACCCCATCTCCGCCTGCAACTCTAAACCCGGGTCATCCCGCCGCCCCGGGTCGCCCTGACAACGGTAAAACTCCCGGTCACACGCTCAGACACATGTTGCACGTTCGGTCATGTGCTGCATGACTCGTGATATTCGCACGTTCGGTACTGGCAGTACATGATCACAGAGAGCGGCTGGCGTGCCTGAGTAAGGCCTGGCTTTGGTGTGACTGTGAGCTGAATTAGACAGATCCTGAATTAAATTCTGTCGGATCAGATGTTTTTCTTCTGATGATCGGTTTATCTTAGGGAACAAAGCCCTTTGTCTCCGCTTCAGCCGCGAGAAGCTGAAGGGAAAAGTGGCTGGGGAGCAGTGCTGGCGGGGTTCATGTCATTATCGATGTAGATCTGCACTGGCTGTACGGAGCGGGGCCGGGCGTTTGAAGCACGAGGGCTTTACAGGGAGACAGTCCTCTCTCTCACACAGGGAGAGCCAGACTCTCAACTGTCTCCTCTGAAAATTGGATTTCTATCCCCTGAGATTAGGATCAGGCTTTCCCCGCTCCACTGAGGCTCTATTAGAAAAACATGCCGCCCTCTGAGGGCCACGAGAAGCTCGCAGCGGAGACCTCGCCGTCATCCTGGTGACCTTTCACCTCCTAGGACCAGCCGCAGGACTGATCCCACACCGGGGTGGCTTTGCTCCGGGTGTTTGTCTGTCTGCCGAGGTCCTCAGCCAACTGCAGGTGTCATCTATTTGACGTGGCCCCCCCTCGCTCCTCTCTTTCCCTCCCTGCCTGCGGCGGACCATGATCACCATAGAGGACAAAGGAGTGTCTGTCTTCACTGACACAAGCACACATGAAACCCCCTCCAATGTGTCATTTACATGCCCACTTAACAGATTCCAAAACCATACGATACAACTCTGCTATTGTGGGGCTTTGTTAGTGGAGGAGACAGTGGACGTGTGATTTGACACTTTACTGTAACACAACCAGCATTTCTGGATGTGTATGATGCTGCCAGGAATAAATGGATGGAAAAGAAACCAAATGGAACATTTGTTTTTCATGTGTGACCAAAATAAAATTCAAAGAAAGACTCATTGGGAAAGTATTTGAGCAATTAAATGATACACTGTAAGCAATCAATTTAAATGAATGCTTTCTGTCTAACCTAGGGCCTTTGCTAACCTTAACCAGCTTGTGAGAGTTTTGCAACAAAGGGATATATTTTAGACACAAGCATGGCACTCTGACTAGCCGATATACTTATATAGCCTTATTGTATTTATTTTTTGAGATATTTATTTAAATGAGTTGTACTCATGACAATGGAGACAAAACAACTCACAAAATGTTTACCTGCCTGTGAAATACATATGGTCTGTCAATCACAGGTGCTTAGCATCCAATGCTTACAGTAACATGAAAACTAATTAATTTAACGCTAGAAAATCTGATTACCTGACATCGTCATATTGTCTTATTATTTTTCGTTATACATTTTCTTGAATCTAAAGATATTCATACAGCTCTTTACTTTTTTCTACATAACATTACACAGTGTAACTCTTACTACTACTAGAGATACACATCTGCTTTAAAGTAGTAGTGTATTTACCTAGTCTGCCACATAAATCAACAGTACAACCCAGAGGGATCAAGTGTTTCTACGTGGATCAAAAGGATACTTTCAAATGGGAATTCATTGGTATACCTAATTCTGGAAGCTTCTATTCGTTCCTACTTCAAAACGATGTAGAATCTGAATACAAACATGGGCATTATGTGAATTGTTGTAACCATAAGGCCTTCATATCTCTCCGAATGTTTCTTTGTCTTTTGTTATATGGCTTTCTATTCTCAGATCCCCTGTTCTCAGAGGGAACATTAGTATCTTCAGTGAACAAGGATCTGATGGATGAGTCATGATGTGAGTCAGCGAGAGATGGTCCATATGGCCTCAAACTGCTTGAGGCCATATGAACTGTCTCTCCGCCTTTTCTTTCTGGAAGATCAATCATGATCAAAATACGCAAGAACATTGTATTCACTCAATGTTACATCAGCCGGAGCCAACTTAACAAATCAAGCCGGATTAGGAAATCTATGACTGTTCTTATCAACGTCCAAAGAGTTGCGACAACGTCAACAATTCTCTGGCAGAAGACAACTACCCCAAACAATACCGTCACGTGTTTGCAATGGAGACGAGGAGACTAGCCAATAGACACAGAAATCAAACAGACACAGCTAGTGAAGGGTAATACATCACCACACAAAAAACTGAAACCAAAATACAGCTTTTGATTTAGGTCTCATGACGACAATCATTTTAATCATCGTGTGATCCCAGATGCTCGTTTGTAGCACCGTCCGAGATCAATGAGATCAAATGTTGAATGACACGAGGAGGAGTAGGAGGAAGAATTCTCCCGTGGGTGGTATTTTATCATCAACAACAATAGCACATTATAATGAAACATCTTCTTTGAGATTTTAAACTCTAGCCGGCTTCAATGCAATTCTACAGAACTCAATTTTAGGTAATATTGGAGGTCACTAAAGGGAGAAATGATGCTCCAAAGATACCACATTCTGATTTGCATTAAATAAAAAACATCTCCTGGGTCTAAAAGTCAGGCTGAAAAGTTACTCCAAAACAAGACACTTTGTTCAAACTTCCCCTATCCAGTCACCGGTCTCTTTGGATTCTCAAACTTTATTTTGTACTTTGTTTTTTTGCCAAGGCTGTACTCCCCTTTCTCTTCCCATTACAAAGTTCTCAGGACCACTGTGGGCTAAATACCCCAACAATCTACCATGGAGAGCACTGTATCTCCTTTAGTCCTTCTTTTCTGCCCCTGCAGGGCATTGACTTCACTTAAAAAAACACGACTTCCTAGCTGTTTGTTTTCCTCGCTCTTCTCACGAGGAAGAGAAAGCTGAGCTCAGCCGGTCGGTAAAAAAAGACACTTCAGGCGAGACCTCAACACAAGATATGTTTTGCTCCCTCCGGCTTGTATTTTGCCTTGGCCTCTCATTCCAAGCACTTGCAAAACAAAACCAGAACTTTGTTGCTGTCTCTTTGCAAGATTCTAAAATGAAAAATGTATTGATTTTCTGACATGACTCCTAGTTAAATGGCTGGATGTCATTATACATCTTTATTCGCTAGTGCTGATACCTGAGTTTCAGTCCTAATACCACAACTTTTTACCCTGCTTTGAGAAAACTAAACTTATTTCTTAAGCCAAAAGTTAAAATATCTGACATCCTATTCTTTACCAACTTTGAGTAGACAAGTTGTTGATACTCTATATTCATTTCAATCAGTCCCAAAGGCACAATCCTTTCTGCAAATAATACAAAGAGGTAAGACCATACTCACAGATATAGTAGTACTCTCTGCCGGGGCGAAATTCAAAGCCCAAAGAGAAGGGGGTGAAGAGCTGGAACTTCTCTGAGAACTTCAGCGGCCCGTTGGGCGACAGAGGCCGGTTGCACTCCCAGCGTTTGAAGCCCTTGGCGGTGTGGTCACAGGAGCTGTAGCCGTCATAGTTCACCATGTAGAGGACGTAGCGCTCGGCTCGATCGTCAGACACTGGGACGATGTAGTGCGGACAGTAGACGTCCAGGTAGTCGTTGATGCATACGTCAATGTGGTAATCACCCCGGTAAAACCTTTAGGAGAAAGACAGAAAGAAAGGAAGTTGAATATGTTGTTGTGCAGAAAAACATCAAATCTGAGTGAAAAAAGCCCCACAAGTCTTCTTCAGTTAAGAACTGGGTTTGCTATCCTGGCTCCAAGATGGTGGAATGAGCTCCCCATTGACATCAGGACAGCAGATAGCTTGCACATCTTCCGGCGCAAACTGAAAACTCATGTCTTTCGACTCCACTTCGAGCGATAGATTTATTAACAAAGCACTTATATACTAATAAAGGACTGGCTTATCTAAAGCCAGTTGAGTAGCACTTGAAATGTTTGGCTCTATGAAACCTGATGTACTTATATGATTCTGTTTTCTTCAAGGTTGTGTCTTCCTGGTCGAATGTACTTATTGTAAGTTGCTTTAGATAAAAGCGTCAGCTAAATGCAATGTAATGTAAAAGACAAGTCAGTTGGAAGTCTTTCAGGTCTGTCAGTGCTGATAATATTACACATTAAATGATTTTCTTACAAAGCTGTACATTTACAGGTAACACCTTTTTTTGTTTTTAAGTTAAGTATGAAAAGTTTGATGTAAATGAAGTCTAAAGTCCTTATTTTAGGTATTCTATTACGTTTTTGACCACTAGTACCGCTGCGGAGCGATTTCATGTGTGGGTGCCCTTTTAGTTTCACACACATCAACACATGGGTGACGCAATACCCTTTCCTGCCAACGGCTTCAATTTATTCCATTGATTTACTCAGCTAGAAACTCAGCCACGAGCAGAAAAAAGGCAAGAGATTACATGTATGTAGACAGATCAAAAAATCATCTTGCAAATGCTTTGAGGAAATAAATTCATGAACATTTGTTGGCCCTTAAGAACACACACACATGCGCACACACACACACACACACACACACACACACACACACACACACACACACACACACACACACACACACACACACACACACACACACACACACACACACACACACACACACACACACACACACACACAATGTGTCTGTCTTTTAAGTCTAATCTTAAAGGCACATCAAGGAAAAACATCATAAGAAGCATAAGGGCACTTGTGCTTACATGACTACATTTGATTGTGGTTATAATACACAGAGTGGGCAGTTTTCTGAATGTCAGCAATAATACTAACATGATAAATCTATAATGGGAGGGTGATTGTTCTACTTTATGTATGCAAGACAATCCTCACAATACCATCATACAACACCTGCTCTTGACCTTTTTTAATGATTTATTTACCCAATGGAAATATGCTGAGCATGCATGCTTTCTGCTGCAGCCTGCATTGTGTTTTCTAACATCCAGATCCCTTGATACAACGCTTTGCTTAAGGGTACATTGACAGCAGCTGCTTAAGTGGGAGGCTATTTACTCATTGATTTGTATGGGGAGTTTCTCGCCATTACGCTCCACAACGACGCGTTCTCCAAAGACTTGTGAGTGCTCAACGAGATGATACTCAGGGTATCTTAGCGAGGCCACAGCTGAGACAAAATTTCCCATATGTGAAAGTGTGAAAGACGCGTCCGGGCTACGGCTCTGGTTTTTGTTTTCAGGATCTCATCATGTCACTCATAATCATCCCGAGGCTCCTGTGAGATTCAACAGTCTCCCCTTGCAACACAGAAACCTCTAGCGTGTGTCGTAAGCCATATATCAATGTTAGAGTTCAGCAATGACGATGACTTATGCTGGTGCTGAAATTAAAGTCCCCTTGCGTTACAGGGCTAATCCCCTGGTTAGCATGGGCCTTTAGCAGCTTGAAGAGGATCCCTCTGTAGAATGAGATTTTCATTAGCCCGATATGACAGCTTGATGCAGGAGCCCCTCGTGGAATCTCCGAGTCTGGGAAAATGAGGGCCGGTTTCTCAAAGCCTCTCCTCAAAACAGCCCCGAGATTTGTCGCGCCTGGTGTTTACTGTAAAACGATCGGACAGGAGGAGGGAGAGAGAAATGCCAGGTATTCCTGAAGAGAGTGATTGGAAACGCATATTCCCACAGGCGCTGTATAAGGTTGCATTTGTGAGGCTTTTAGCAGAGACAGATTAGACCTGGGCGGCAGGCTGGGTTGTGTCTCCGTAGCTGCTAATGGCCCATGGTTCGGTATCACTGACATACTGCGGATGTCTTCAATACTCCACCTCTGTTCATTGACATAGTGAGAGCTGTCAAGGGAGCCAGGACGGAGATCGTGGTGGAGCATGCAGACGGATGATGATCCGATACGGGGTGAACTCACCGAAGCACCGCAGGGTTTTTTTCACCCTGACGTTCCACGGGGCCTCGATTGCCACGGATCAGATGCTACACCTTGAGTACCCGTCAGCTGATCTGAGGCCAGGTGAAATGAGGAGGGAGGGATTGAGACACAGCTGTTGCCTCTGACACATACACGCTGTGGTTCTCGGGAGGCAGCATAAAGGGAGGTGTGTGCGGGGCCGGCTGGGGGTATCATGTTGTCGTTACACATATTGTAAATGTGCTGCAGGATTAGTCGCCGTCCTACTGGGTTTGCATGAGCGGATGTGTGTAGCGGGGTGTCTTATGCCATATTCTAATCTTTTTCTCTCTCTAATTATAGTCTGGTCAGACGTGAAACCAAAGCCCTTGTTTTCTCTTATTTCCCCCCCCCTTCAGCACCAGCTGAGCGCTCCGGCTCCAGGCAGGCACAGCATGGCCTCCCTTAGCCTCTAGTTTCAGAGCTGCTTGCTGTTATTATGACTACCAGGGGTCAACCGGCTCCATGGTATCATGTCCTCAGCCAGGAGCGCTATTGGGTAGCCTGCTTTGTCCTCCCGTGTCTTTTATACGCCTCAAATGTTGGCTTCCACCTCACGACTGTCAGCGGCTGTCAATCAAACCTGACCCAGGAGTACCGGACGAGATTAGTTGGGATTAAGAAGAGTTTGTAACTAAAGCCTTTGTTAGGGAAATACATTTAGGAAAGTGATGATAACCATGATCAGGTACTTGTATTCAGATACATCCTGATTGTGTCTGACAGCGTTTAATCCAGGCATCAACACGCATCTCAAATCAGTCTCCAGTGACCACCGCTCATCGGATTTCACTTCTGCACTCAATAGAAATATAAACATGGTTCGGAGCAGAACAGATCAGCAAACACTTAGGCTTCAAGCAGTTAGGCTTTTACAGTCTACACCGTTTGTAAGGTTCATAATGAATTGTTTTTGAGGCAAACATAATTCACTTTCCCTCCATATTAGTGGGGAGGTGACAAAAACTCAACATTGGATAGATGGATCTATGTTGCTACTATTTCCAGGTACAGTCAGTGAGGCAATAAGAATAACATAACAAGAAAAAATAGCAAATATTAACAATCAAGATAAGATCAGGCAGGGTTTGAGTTTCTATTTTATTTCGGGAAATAAGGACAGCCGTGAAGAACAGGAGCTATGAAGATTTGTACGTCATGTTCTAGAATAGATCATGAAATATATCAGTTATTTCCGCACTTGGACATTTTGAAGCTTTTACGTGTAACCCTAACGCGAATAAATACGACAAAAATGGTTGACCATTGTTTAGTTTGTATATAGTCGCTGCAATATCTTTTTACTTCCATGTCCATTTGTTACGACTATCTTAACATAATATATGAAGATCATACTTATTTTTTGCCACAGGGCTTATTTGTGGAGGGAAACAGCATGGGGCAAGAAGGAGTAAATGAGGCGTAACATGACTAAAGAAAAAAAACCAATACAAATATTTCTCAGCCACCTGTGGCTGGGGGTTGAGTCTACGGCTGTCTCGTTTTAAAACCAATGCATCCCTGAGTATCTGCAAATGTAGTTTGGGCTATCAGTTTCACATTCTTTCCTTGGACGCATATTTATTATCCCTCTCGATGTATGATGGCTCCACCAGAGATGGATTTGGATGGCAGTTCTGAAGAGGGTCAAATGTGGCCAAACATATGCGGCAAAGAGACATCCTAAATCTTAAATATGGACTGTAGGTGTTTGTTACAAAAGATGATAAAACGCGTAGTGAGAGCGGAGATGATCCAGATGTTTGCCACATGGAGGCCATAAGGGCTGGAAGGAGTATACTATTGATAAGATCATAAACACACAGCCTGAGTCAAGATGTTCTGGAATAAGATGACATTTCAGCTCTGGATGTTTAATGGTTTTGCCTTTTGAGGGCCAGAGACTTTCTCCTACTGATCTCTAGAATCTATATAAGACTTGACTAGACCTGACTGAAGTGAGAAACCATTATTTATCTACCAAGCTATAAACCGTTAGTACTCCTAATTTTCATCAGGGTTTCTTTATTCATTCCTAGCAAGATTTATTCATCAGTTTTTCTAAATGGCCTTGTTGTTACAGGCTCCTTAGCAAGTCATTAAGCCTTCACGGGCAATTTCAACATTTATATTCTTCATAGCAGCAGGACGCGCTGAAGGCTGATTGACAGTTCGGGGGTTTTGAAAACAGGAAGACCACAAAAACAAAACAAGAGCATACTCCAGCAGTTAAAATGTGTCATAATGAGCCGTTACCAAAATGAAAGCACCTTAATCCCGAATCCATTTGTCGTGGGGATTAATGATTCCTGATTGGCTCAATTACTCACGGCCAGTTGGAGGGGCTTATCAATGAATCAGTCACTGGATCTCTTAACAAAGCACACATTTAGGGATAATCCCTCTTTTCACTGAGATCCCCATCTCTTGTTTACTTTCTTTATCCCCTTCTGTTGTGTTGTTGTTGCTCTGTGGCCTGGCACAGGTAAGGGACAGGGGGAGGTAGTATACGGGGAAACACACAAAGTGGAAAAAAACAGATAATAGGAAGGAGAGAAGAGAAGGGAGAGCTGGTGTTGGTTGAATTATAGGGGAGAGAATGAAGAAGACAAGAGAGTGTAAGAAAGTAAAAGGCAGTAGAGGAAAGTAGGTGAAAGAAAGGAAGTGAAAGAAAGGACGTATGGCTGAAAGTCTCCTTTCGAAT